TGCCATTATTTTAGATTTTTTTATTGGTCCATAATTATAAAATTACAATTTCTGAATAAAAAAACATAACAAGTTAATTTATTGTTTTTTTTATTCGTATATCTATATTGTTTCCATAAGAATAATAGGAAGATATTGTCTTTGTCAAAACATTACGACAAATAAAGTTTCGCACGAAATAGTACAAATACAACAACTATTTTTTTCTTTTTTTTTTATCATTCATCACAAGTGTTAGCTTTACATTTTATTGTTTTAGTGTTACATATTATAATTTAAGTATTTTATTCGTATTGCTTTGCAAGAATTATATCAATATTTATTTCTAACAAAATATGCTAAATATGGTTCTCATAAATTTAGCGCAAAATAAGTGATGGTTATTGATCTGAACATTGAGGGTGACCCATCTTGATCGTTACCTTAATATGATTTATAAATATAAAGAAAAAATAAAATTTGAAAGTATATAAAAAAAACTAATTTGATATATATAGATAATTATATTTTTATTTTTCTACTTTTAGATGGACGTTTATTGTCATAATTTGTATACAAAGTAAAAGTTAAATGATTTAGTGCTTGAACATGACATCGAATTTGGTTTTATTTGCGAGTAAGAAATATACTAATACTGTGAAATGATATTGGAAAATAAAAATAATAGTAATAACTAAAAGAGTGAGGGTGTCTCAACCATAAGGGAGACAAAGAGTGATGGACGATATTGACTATATAGACAGAGTAGGACAATGTATATTTATCATTCAATTATTTAATATAATGTTTGGTGTATATGTGGTCTTTTGTAATAGTTTTGGTCCTAAATCATTGAATAATTTGAGCCCAAAATACATAGTTTGTTTATTTTTTTTTAGTTGATATCATTTGTTTCATTTGGACTTAAATTTGAGGTCATCTAAAGTTTACTAAAGTGACTGCCTACAGTTAATCTATTTATTGATCCACAATTATGCAACTATAAATTCCAATTAATAAAATTAGCATAATGCGTTAACTATTGCTAATTGTTTGTTATTATTACACATGTTTTTCTCTTAAGATAATTACAAGAATATATTATCGCTACTGAATTTTTGCAATAGATAAAGTTCAATACGACTTACTATAATGTATCAACTACGTTTTCTTATCATATTTTATAGTTGTTAGTGTTATCAAAATTTTGTACTATTTTATAATTTGTATAATATAATTTAAATGTCATTTTCTCATCATTTGACGAAATTATATTAACTTACATTCCACATGAGTTATGTGGAAAAAATAAGTAATTTGTTATTGACATGAGCATTAACGATTATTGTGCATATTTGTAACTTTACATAAGGTGATCGATCTTGCACGTCATTCTGAGCACCATCGTACTTATTTTGCAAATAAATGAAGTTAATATTTATTTAGAAAATTATAAAAAGTGAAAGATATGTGGACCTAATTTTAAGGTAAACGCATGCGCTGTTCAAAATTGAGTCATTTTTGTATTTTTTTCTTAAGTATTTAATTTATATTTTTAATTTTAATTGACTCATATTTTGTACATGTTTATTTCAATTATTTTATATAGTATTAATATTATCTTTAGTTATTAATGAAAAAAATATGTCATTATCAAAATATTTTAGGCAAAAAATTTAAAGGAGTGTTATCAATGTGACAAATACATTGAATATCACAAATGTTTCTTTAAGTTGAATTTATTTAATTTGAAACTATTTATTACAAAACATATTGTATTTTATAATCACATCCATTATATGTTATTGTTTTTATAATCACGGACCTCTATTTTCTGATGATTATTATTTGATGATGATAATGGTAATAATGAATACAGCTCATCCACTAATAATGTTATATTTAGGAAAACAGTTTAAAATATAATGAATAAAATTTTCATTTTACTTTTTATTATCTCTCTACATATTTTTCTTAATATTATTTATTTATTTAATTAATAATTCATTTCATGTCGTGTTTTAATATCAGGCTGCGCAACGCGCGGGTGAAGTACTAGTTATCATATTATAAATAGATCATACTCCCTCCTATTCATAATAAATGTCGTTTTGAGAAGTTGCACAGTTATTAAGAATATTTTTTTTGCCAATAATAACTCTAATTAATGAGGATAGAGATGAATGTTTTGAGAAAAGATGAAGAGTGAATATGAAAAGACGTAGTGTATTTATTAGCTAAATGAGGGTAATAATGGAAAAATATGTACAAAATATCCAAAACGACATTTATTTTGTTAATAATTGATAATGCCAAAATGACATTTAAAAAGAATAGGAGGTAGTATTAGACTTCCATTTAAGTTCCAGCGGCACCAGTTCCTTCTGATTTTGGGGTTCCATTTAACAGTCATGGTTAGTCTTTTTGTATAAAAAATATAGAAATATTAGTGAATATTATATATCTAATCAAGTATAATCGATATTAAACTAACAGCTCATTGTCTCACTGCTTAACTAAATTATCATATTATAAAAAGATCCATCTTAGGATTTCATTTAAGTTCTAGAGCACCAGTTACTTCTAATCTTATGGTTTCATTTAAGATCAGAGTCAGTCTTTATGTGCGTCGGCATATTATTAAATAAACCGGTTCTTAGCAACGACCGATTATATGTTGTTGTTTTTACGTGTAAGTAATAGATAAGAGATGTGCATTCACATGTTCTTAAAAAATTTTTTTCTTTTTCTTTTTCTTTTTTATCACAACCAATTGTATGTTGTTACGCGTGTAAGTAATATGTCAAGAAGATCATTTATTGTACATTGGCATGTTAAGTAATATATCAAGAAAAGTCGAGGTCAATATTTATTGTACGTTGGCATGTTCTTAAATAAATCGATTTTTAGTCACGGACAATTATGTTGTTTGTTTCGCGTGTAAGTAATAAAAAAGTGTTGAAAATATTAGTTTGTGGGGACGACGAGTTGCTTAGTTATTGAACAAATAATGTTGTGTACAAGAAAATTTAAATAATATATTTTTTTGCATGAGGAACATTTTATGGTTTGACAATTTTCCTACGAATTATCACTCTTTTATTTATTAATACATTTTAATTTTTAATATTCCCAAAGTAAATACAGCCCGTGCATCGCACGGGTTACATACTAGTGTGTTAAAATCAACATTCAAATTTGAAGATCCAAAATGGGGGAAAAAAACAGGCATAAAGTTGAAGAGCCTACTGAATTTTGAAAGATTTATTTTTGGCAATAAGATTAAAAATAATATATTGAAAATATGTTTTTGCAAACAAGTGAAATTAAAAAGGGAAGTTCTTTTATTTATTTATGTATTTAATTTTATATTTCGATATGCATATAATATATATATATATATATATATATGCATATGTTATATGTAATATATTTAGTTAAAGAAAAATTTGCATGATCTTATTGTGATTATCTTTTGTAGGACGTGAGATATGCATGCACGTGGATAGACGATTGCATGAAGAGAAGATTTGGAGAGAGAAGAAAGGAATTTACACTTACCATATCTCATCTTATACATACACTTGGAAGGAAATCGGACATGGAGGGATTTTTGCTTGAGAAAGAGTCTATCTAGTTCATTCAAGTATTATTCAACAATCAATTAAGAATTCAAGTTTAGTTCTTTTAATTCATTAGTCAGTTTTCGATGTTTTTACGATGTCGAATGATTGAATTCGTTTTGTTTTAGTTTTTCATATTTTAGTTAAACACTTTGTTTTATAGTACATAGGAATTAAGTAATGAGTTTTACTCGAGGGATTCGAGAGTGTGAAATACAAGGGACGTGGCCAGAGAAGTAGTTGGTTGAATCGAGTGTAGTTGTAGCTAGGCTAGAAACAAGTTCTAGATTTTGTAAGTCCAAACTATACACTTGTGTACGATCGATTATCAATGAAAGATCTCTGAGGGAGTGGGACGCTCCCTGAAGAGTTTATATCTCTTGTTATGTGCTTCTGCTATTTCAATGTTTTTCTGGTGTTGTAACGCAAAGTAAAATTTACAGAATACCCGTGTTCTAACACTGTTGAACGCATTCATCGTAAAATACCCACGTTTCAAATTTAATAAGCAAACTTGTTTCAAGTAGTGGCTTAGCCCATTGATTGAAAAATGAATGAGAGCTGCTCCACCGTTGCTGGGTGGAAATCCATACTAATTGCACAAAATCTTTTAAATTAACGACTAAACAATTGATTTGTCATATTGTAAGATAAAAAAATTAATACTCAAATTATTATGCTTCTATTTATGTCGCTTTTTAAATTGTGATACCTTCTAATGAAAGTAGGCGTAATTGTGAGAAAAGTATGTTGGTCTAATCGTTATTTTGGCTAATTATAAGACCAATTAGGGCTTCTATGTAATTGTTTGAAAGTTTTAATAAAACTCAATATTAAATAAGTTAATGTCACATGATTTGTTAAAATTCTTTAAATCTTAATTGAACACTTTATTATTTTTAAAAGCCTGAAAAAATTCAAAATAAATACGCTGGAATTCCTAAATTTCCAACAAGCGTTTAAGAATTTCAATAATCCCACCTCCTAAAGCTTTCTAAGATTTACTCAAATTTCATAAACCAAAAACCTAAATCTCACCTTTATACTTCAAATTTCTACTAAATCTCAAATTTTTAAGTTCAAATTCTCAAATAGTTTTAAAAAATATTTCTTAAAACACCAAATTCTCCTCATAGATTATGAATGGGACCTATTGAAAGAAAAAGAAAATATAAAAGATAATCGAAAGTCCAAGTTACAATAGAGCCCCAAGGCCAACGTATTCAAATTTCAAATTCGAACTACAAGAAGTCCTAAAACCGTAAATATTCGCTGATTCATGGCCCATTTTGTCCAAACCTCGTTTCTCAATTCGCACACTTTATAAACCCTGTATAAATCCCTCGCCTTCGTCTCACTCCCAAAAATTTTCCTCGCCGATATACAAAATCTTTTACAATGTCGCTGAGACCTAACGCCCGCGCCGAGGTCCGCCGCAACCGCTACAAGGTGGCTGTTGACGCCGAGGAGGGGCGGCGGCGGAGGGAGGATAACATGGTCGAGATTCGAAAGAATCGCCGTGAGGAGAGCCTCCAGAAGAAGCGCCGCGAGGGTATCCAGCAGTTTGCTGTCCCTGTCGAAGCCACCACCGGCATCGAGAAGAAGGTATAAGAAGATTCATTTGTTTGTTGTCATATATTGTTTTTTGTTTGTTGGATTTTGCATTTGGTGAATATATATGTGGACCTGTAATTGGAATCGGTTGGTCGGAGTTTTTTATGTTGTTTTTGGATGCTAGGTTATGGTTGTGGGTTAAACTGATTGTATGGATCGGACTGGATTTTATTTAGTTCATAGGGCGTTATTATAATAATTTTCAGTAAAGACTAGAAACGATTAGTGTCTTTTTTACTCTTACTGATCCGTATTTTGCTGCATTTAGAACTAATTCTGGATGTGACCCTCTTGCTTTTGTTGAATTCGTTTTTCTTTTGTCTTTGGTTTGAAAATTTTGAGTTGAGAGATGAATAGAACACGCCGGTATCGTTAATTATCTTAGTATTTTAACAATTTTTTATTGTTTTGACTAGTTTTTTTTTTTGTTGGTTTGATTGTAGGTGCAGTTAGAGAATCTACCATCAATGGTCGCTAGTGT